GTGTGTGAAACAAAAGGTTTCACAGAAAAGGTTTTCTGTTATTTATAGAAGGTGCTAAGGTTAGGAAGGTGAATGTTGTGACAACATTCAAAACCTAAACAGTTGCAAAACCTAAACAGGCTGCTCTCAAACTCCTGGACGCAAGTGATCCTCCAACCTCAGCCTCCCAAAGTGCCAGAACTACAGGCATGAACCACCTCACATGACCTAACCGTACCCTTTTAGGATCTAAAGTATAAACTTCTATCACCATTTCACTTGCTGTGTAAGATTCTGTTGGCCTCAATACAGAAGGGTGATAGTATATATCAAAGATTTGTTTATTCTCAAAACCATATTTAGACCACAGAGGTCAGTGTTTTGGGGTTGCTGCTGCTTTGGTACAGCATCTAGTCATTGCTGCATTTCAGGTGAAGATTGAAAAGGAACTCAGTGGCATCTACCGGCGGTTGTTTGAACCACTCCGTGTGCCTCCAGATTTGTTCAGAAGACTAACTGGACAGTTTTGCATGATCCAAACCTTGAAAAAGGGCCAGACTTATGCTGCAGAGGATAAAACCTCAGTTGATGACCGTCTGAGTATTCTCTTAAAGGGAAAGTAAGTGTTCTGTGGAAATCACAATTCCTAGTTTACCTTTAATTTTTGCATGGCCTCTGGGAAGGAAATGAATGGAAGGAAATGTCGCCAGTGAATGGAGGAAGCAGTCACAGAATTTGTTGTTGGTGGAATTTTATGCTACAACTACACTTTACGACGCTGCAGAGCAACATGTTAAAGCCAGGTTGAATGTACTGCTCTGAATCTTGATGTCAGGATTTTCCATTGCAAGTATTTTAACCATTTTTGACCTTTTATTAAAAATGAATGAGTCAAAATTGAAGTGGATTTAAATTAGACATTGAAATTCAAAAAGCCTATGCATGCTTCAGAGTTAATTTGTCTTGAATATCACAAAAATGCAACTTCTAGGAATATCAGCCTTTCGGGGAGAGAGTCAGTCTCTGTTGTGCTGGCACTGTTATTAATGACACCTCTTTCCCTCTCAGAAGTGTCCCAGCTAGAGTAACAGATTATATGGTCACTTCCATTAGACGGGCAATAGTTACCACTAGATGGCATACATCTGACTCAATATTGGACACTGTTTTTTTCTTTTTCCAACATTATTTTTTGAAATACTTGTGCCTCAAGAAGTGCTTTTAGTTCTGTGCATCATCTGTGGAATTTTAAAAACTGTACTACAAAATAAAATCGCATAAGATTATAGCAGTTTTAAGGATCATGATGGTATTTGTGAAATATTGCTTTTATTAACATTAATTTCTGTTATCAGAATGAAGGTCTCCTATCGAGGACATTTTCTGCATAACATTTACCCCTGTGCCTTTATAGATTCTCCTGAATTTAGATCAACTCAGATGCACAAAGGTGAAAAATTCCAGGTACGTTTTCACATGATTTTTAAGGAGATTGAAGCTAGTTTGCATCTCATTCAGAATCCAGAGGATATTAATAGAAACACAGCTATGAGTTATTGGGGAAAA